GGGGATGTCTTCCTCTCCACACCGAAATGCATGGCGTGGCTATGCAGATATGCTGCATAGCCATGCCCATCACTAGGTCGTATTATCGGGGTAGGGGTTATATTTAACAAATGCGTAGAAATTATACATGATACACATGTGCATGTGTATCATGGGCTTATTTTTGTGGTAGGTCTTATTTTGGGGGAAATGTGGTAGTTTTAGAAACTACCATACCTTTGGAGGAAAAATATGGAACAACATGATATAATAACTAATATTTATTAAGTGCTTACATATATATGAGGCATGGTTCTAAATATTTTACACAGATATTATTTTGCCTAATCCTCTAACCACCTCATAAGGTAGGTACTCTTAGCTCCCATTTCATAAATATGGAAAGCAAGCCCCACTGAGGTTGAGTAATTTGTCTAATATTATATAGTCTATGTGTTCTGCTACATGGGTACTGCTGAAAACTTTTAAATCTGGTAGAAGCTATTTCTCAAGTTGAACTAAATGCACATGTGTATCATGTATAATCAGCTAAAGATAAAATGAGCTTATTCCTTGCCAGCCTCAAAAAATTCTAGAAATATGAAAATGAGAAAAAGAACATTTACTGAAAAACGTAATTCTTTTTTATTTTATAAATATAACATTAATCTTTTTCAAAATGGTAAACACTCTTCTCTTTAAAGAAACATTTAATGAATTTCATATAATCTGACTTCATATAATTGAAATTATCTAGCCACTTCCTCTATAATTAAGGGTAACAAAAGCCAAAATTCCTAGAAAACAAATTTAACTTTTATTTTAAAATCATCTAGTGACAGAAGTGCTTTGGTTAATGAAGGATCTTCTACTGAAAGATTAATGAGTAAAGATTACATACCTTGTTTTTAAAATAAACCTCAATTGGCAAAATGAAACCAGCATACCCAGATTCTTCTACTTTGTAAGGTGGATCTTTGCACACTGTAACATTAAAAAAGAAAACAGGTAAGATGAGAATAATACACAAAAGACATTCTTCTTTATTTAAAAAGGAAAAAAAACCCCATTCTGCCAACTAGATCATGCCAATTTTCACAGCCCTTTGATAACCCCCAGATGAGTCAGTCTTTGATCTCTTATTTCTTCTCCAAAATTTATGTACCAATAATTTTTCCTAGGTAAAGCAACCTATAAGTTATTCATTCAAATCTTGATGGAGGATAGCCAAGCATAGTCAATCTTGTTCACTAATGAGTGAACTTCAGTTGTAATCACATGTTCTAAAGCTTTAGGGAAACTGAGGACAGCTCCTTATGACCCTAAGCTCAAAGGAACTGTAAGTTGGCTAACAAAAATACTAAGTCTAGCCTTTGATGTAAGTCACTCCCCACCCAAACTGCTCATGTACCTGAGATTCCTGACTTCTACGTCATTTTCCTTCCTTAGAAAATCCCCAGGCTTGGCGCGTGTGGCTCAAGTGGCTAAGGTGCCAGCCACATACA